CCCTTCACAACGACTATCAGCTAGGGAAGTTAACTGTATAACGCTTCCAAAGATACCGCACTCCGGAGATGCAATGAAACTTAGAAAAACTCAAAATACCAAGCAGTACTTCACGCATATTCGCACTGAAAAACTAGAAATGAGCAACAGCTCTGCAAAGTTCTTTTTACGTAGCTGCTCAATACATCATTCGTAATGCCCAAAATATCTAGGAACTTGATGTTTGGTGAAAAAAACTTACGTTTGCTAAGCTCGCGACTTCTGCTTCGGCATCGATCGGCGTTTGGACGTGGCGCCCAGGTGTGCTCGCCAGATGAGCTTTCATGCGGCGGCTAAATTCATTCAGCCGTTGAATTCAACCCATCACAACTATTATTATTTGCTATAGTGGGTAAAGTGGAAAATCCAGCAATCAACAAATAATTTAAAAACTCAAAAAGCACCAACCATAAATTAAAATAGGGTCCGACGACCAAAGAAACACGCCAAACAGTCAAATATTACCAAAGACTTCTAGTCCTGGAGGACTCCGCTGCCGAGAAATCGAAATTTCTCGAAGTTGAAATAACACGTAGTGGTTATCGTACGTGCAAAGAAAAGGAGCAACAGATCTGGATAATTTACAAGGCCATGTGCCTTTCAAGAACACAAAAAGGACGCCATTACTGCCAGCAAACTGACCAGTAGACGAAGAACTATGGCCAAAGCAGCTAACAACTGTCCAATTGAAGAGCCTGATGATGAGCTACAGATGAACCAAGCATCCCAGGTATATGTTGTTCACTTATAACGGTTAACGACTGCTAGAAATTTAATAGCCGAAAGGCCTTCCACAGTATTTGCAGCGGGGAAAGAGGCACTGAGGCGAAAAAAAGGAGGAAAAAAACGTAACACTTTTGCTGAATTAATCCCCACAGTAAAGGAGAACCCAAAACCCCTTTTCTCTCACTGCAAAAGGAAAAAGTTGAACAAATTTTAAAATATTTTAATAATCAAAAAAAAAAAAAAA